AAGTCTATGCTGACTCCATAGGGCAGGCCAGTTGCGGGGTGACTCTGGAGCCCAAGGGAGCCTCACAATCCTTCCCAGATGGCTCTAAGTGCCGCCATAGGTGCCAAGGTGGCAATGCACCCAGGCAAGAGAGCACAGGGCATCTGGGCACACTCAGGAAGAAAGTAACTCACCAGAGTTGTTCTGGAGAGTGAGTTCCAGTGCCTAGAGGGAGACAGAGTAAGGAAGGAAAGAGCCTGCATTTATTGAGCACTTAGAGTAAGCGGGCAAGACAGACCTCTCCTGGCTTGCATCCACTGGACCTTCCACATGCTTCTCCTTGAAGGTCCTGGACAGCACGGGCTGTGGCTAATGTATACTGTGACCCTAATGCTCAACACTGGGCTTGGCCCAGAGGAGGAGCTCCGAGGGCGCTGGCTGAAGGAGCGAGTGAACATTAGCCACATCCCTTCTGCATGAGAATGAGAGATATCAGGAAGAACTGAGAGGAGGGAGGAGGTGTCATGAGTGCGGGCAGCAGAGAAGGCAGAACCCTCACCCCACCCCCAAGGGTCTGGGAGCTGGGTCTGTGCAGGCACCTCTCAGCCTTTTAACTGCGGCCCTGTGACATGCTGGCTTTCTCATCTCTTCTCCCAGTGAGAGCCAGACAGGAAAGAGGTCCTGGGAAGTGGAATCTCTGGCGGTCCAAGCATCTCCTAGGTAGACTAGATTCTGGGTCAGTGAGTCGGAGGCAGAAGGGCCTTGTAATCCCCTCCTCTCCATTCTGACCCTGGGGTCAAGATGGGGGTACGGGGTCCCACACACCTTGACCCCAAAAAGGAAGAGGCTGCCCAGCAGAGGGAAACCCAGACACCAGCAGTCCAGGCTGGGGTGATGCAGCGTGGTAACTGGAGTGGGGCCAAAACACCTGCCCCTGCTCAGTACCCCCCAGAGGGCAGCCAGGTGGAAAGAGGACCGACCAGCAGTCAGGAGGACCCAGGTTCCAGCCCCTCCAGCCTCCAACTTGCTGAATGACTTTAGGCAAGTCATGATCGGCTCCCTGGGCCTCAGTTCCCTCATTTGCCAAGGAAGAGGGTTGGGTGATCTGACTGCTCAAACATTCTATTCTCCTACGAGCCACTCTATAGAGGCCCTAGAGACTTGTGATCTTTGCCAAACAATTAACTGTTATTAATTACCTGGGCAGAGCAACACCTTCCCAGGTCCTTCACATTCAGCAGGAGCCGGGGGCTGCCACTGTGAGCTGAGCTCGGCTGGGACAGGCGCAGGAGAGAGAAGGCTGGCCTGTGGAGAGAGGGGCCCGGGCACAGCTGACAATGCTGCTTGCAGACAGGGCATCAACTGCTCAGTGGGGAGGAGGATGCTGGCATCCAGGAGCCTCTCTGCCCTCATTCCTCCTCCTAAGTCCTTCTGAGGTACCATTCTTGCTGCTGAGGGTACTCTGTTCTTGGACCGCTGACCCCCCGAGCCAGCCTCAGGAACTTGGAAAGCACTGAGCTCACTGGCACCTAACTAACAAGGCACACCTGGGAACGAGGAAGCCCAATCACTATGAGCCACCACCTTCCCTACCTTAGAAGCCCCATCTCTGGTCACATCACAGACAAAAGCCAGGAAATCACTCCAAAGGACCTATGAGCAGCAAAAAGGAGTTGCACAGCCCAACATTATAGCTCGAAGGCTTTTCTCATAGCCCATTGACTTGTATGCTACACACAATTCTAATGTATTTTGTTCTGTTTTTCCAGTTGGTGACAGTTTAGGAACAGACATTTAGAACTGGAGATGCCCTGCTAGCCTGGCATATGACTGAAATGGACTGGAGACAGAAAAAATACAAGAAGCAGGCACAAGAACTCAAAGAATAAAATCATCTGGAATAAAATCTCCCTGTTACTAGGAGAGTAGCCTTCCCTCCCTCTCCCCTGACTTGTCCCATGTGAGGATATGGGACTAAAACTGGGGGGCGGAGGGGCCCTGACCTCCTGCGGATGTTTGCGGTCTGGGAAGCTGCATCTGGTCCTTCCCTCTGCTCTCTCTTCTTTTTTTATTCCTTTCTTCTCCTCCTCGTTACATAAAGAAACGAAGCCAGCTTACTAAAATACATACCAGAAAATAGAGTTTAAGACATCATAATGAGGAAAAACGCCATCAGGCTAGAAGGTCACAATCCAGAGCTCTGCATGGCTCCATCTCTAGTGCCGGTTAGGGCAGGAAGCCCTCCAGAAACCCCCAGGCTTCATATGCAGCTCCACCAGCTATACCCCACCATGAAGGGGGCTAGGAGTATGCACAGAGGGAGGGTGGTAAATGGAAACTGAGGCCCACCTCCTCTAAGGAAGTGCTACTGAGGATCTAGCAACTTGCATCTGACTTCCTCTTTTTCACTTTCCAGGTTCTCTGAGCTAATGAGACCGTCTCCTGCAACCCACGTCTAACCCTGGCCAAATCCTTGCCCTCAGGGGGCGTGACACAAAGGCTCAGGGCAGGGTTCCGAGGGGCGGGAAGCCGGGGCTCACCCTCTCATCCATTCCCTCCCCTGTCTACCACCCCCAGTTTGTAAGCAATGAACCCGCCTCCCAGACTCCCTTTAGGGCTCTTCTTTATATCTGTCTTGTAACCAGACCACCCCTGGCGAGAACAGAGAGCCCTCAGTCTCCATCAGAACTGACTTCCTTGCCAGAGCCGAAGGCTCCCAAGGCCCAGCAGAAAGGACCCCAGAGATCATCAAAACGACTTCCTGCATTTCACAGATGGGAAAACAGAGGCCCAGAGAGGGAAGTGACTGGTTCAAGGTCACACAGTCTGGTAGTGGCTGATTTAGGACTAGAAGCCAGGCCTTCAGGCTCCCAGAGCACCATGGTTTCTTCTAGAACTTGTGGAGGAGCCTCTTCCAGCAGGCTTTCAGGCAGCAGAACGGCGCCCTGGCCCCTCTCCTGCATCCCTCCTACTCCTCCAGAGCCCCCTACAGAAACACTACCAGTCTGTGAAGGGCTGGCAAGGGGAGAGAAAATAGCGTTAAGGTGGGGATTTTATTTAATCCTCTGAGCTGGCTTAAACCGATGCCACACTGGTTAGAGTAGGAGGAGAGAGACACAGTGGAGTTTGGAGGGGGAGGGGAAAAAGGGGGAGCATTAGTGAATAATGACTGGATACCAAGAGGCCAGGCCTGCCAATGGGTTTAACAGACAAGTACCCACCTTCATGGACTCCCCACCCCAGGGCCCAGGCCTCCAAGTAGTGCCCTTCTGCCATGGGAATAACCCAGTCTCCAGGATCCTCAACAGTGCAGAGCTATCGAAAGATCATAGACCATAGATTGAGACAGACCTAAGGCAAACCCCAGCTCTGCTACTTACTCACTGTGACCTTAGGCAAGTCACTTTACCTCTCTGAGCCTCAGCTGCTTCCTCTGTTAAAGGAAGCTGAATGCACCTTCGTTCCAGGCCTCCTGGGAAGGAAGGCTGCCTGAGCTCACGTACATAAAGAGACACAGGGGAGGCATTGAGTCAAATCTCACTGCTATTATTACAAATCCCACAGCCTTCATCTCTCATCCAGGCTCATCCATTACTCTTCTGCCCCGGCCTGCTTGCGTCTTTGACATTAATAACCTTAATGATAATAATCCTTCCCAGCCGAATAGCATTTGTATCATCTCAAAACACTAAGCTTCCTACCCTCTGTGGGTCACAGCAGCCCTGCCAGTAGAGCCAGACTGAGGTAGCCCCTCAGCCCCCAAGTTCATCTTCCTACAATGTTTCCAAGTCCCAACTTTGGAATGGAGCCCAAAGACCCTGAACAAACACGCTGTCTTATGGCAGATCTCATGGGGTCAGGGGTAGCCCCCAGCTTAGTGGAAGGAGCCAAAACCACCCCTCCCATCACCTCCATGGCTGACCCTCCCTCTGGCCCACTGCTCTGACCACAAACAGGCTGCCGTTCCCACTTGGGCCTCCAACCCTCCAATTGTGAGAGTCAGCTGGGCAGCTGGCGGAGTCTGGCCTTAGGTGCATGGATCGCCAAACCCAAGGGCAAGGCGAGGCTGTGAGCTCCTGACCCGACAGAGCTCTCTGAAAAGTGTGGGTTCACACCCTTGATCTTACTGGTTCTTCAACTGCCTGTCACCACCCCTGGAACCAGAGTATTATCCTCACACTCCACAAGAGGAAACTGAGGCCCAAAGCTGAAGTGCCCAGCCAAGGTCACCGAGGGCATTTGGGGTAGAGCTGGGGAGTGAATGCAGATCTCCTCTCCTCTTCTAATCTGGGCGCTTTCAACCAGCCCGCTGTCCTCTTAACTCTTTCCTCCCCCCAACAGGGAAGCCCCCAAAGTCTCTCCAATAAACCCGGGCCAACGTCCAGGAACCCTCCTCCAACATAGGGGCTGCCAGAATGCCCACCTCCCCCTTCCCTGTCACAGTCCCTCCCCGTATCTTCAAGTCGGTCACCGCAGAACCCTTCCTAACCCTGGCAGCAACGCCCGAGACTGGGGAGCGCCTTCTCCACTAACTGGCTTTGGAGTGGGCCAGAGTTCCTGCGCTGGGCGGGAGAGGCCGGCAGGTGAGGTGGGCTTTCGTTCGGCTGGCCTCCTCAGGGCGGCAGCCCATTCCCACACCACTGCCCGGGGCCAGTCCCTGCCAGCGACGCTCCCCGCGGCGCACTCCAATCGGGGACACCACGGAGCTGCCCAACGCTGCTCTCCAGGGGTTAAAAATGCAGCATCCTAAACAAGGGTTAAAAATGCAGTCCTGGGGTTGGGCCGCTGCGAAGCGATGTTGCCCAAACCACAGCGGCTTCCAGAGCGGCATCCTCCCCCTTTCCTCCGCAGTCCTTGGGGGCCAGAGCGACTCAAGCGACTGGGGGAGCAAGAGAGGCGCACGCCGCACCTTCCCGGCCCCAGGGCCCCCTCCCACACCCACACCCCCGCGCCCCCCGTAGCTGAGGCCGGGGGCTGCAGGCGCCGGCGGGTCCCGGGCGCGGCGGGCGAGTGGCGCTTACCTTTGTGACAGTCATGCAGAAACTCGGCGGCGGTGCGGGGGCGCGGGCGCGGCG